CTTGCTTTCCACCGTGTGTATATCAGAGGGGGTTGCAACCCACCCCACCCACACCCAGGCGACCGGGTGGGTGTTTGGGGAATTTCGGGGAGTTCAAGTCCCCTCATCTTAAAGTGGCCAAGGTTGAGAAACACTGGTGTAGACTTTTGCATCAATGTTAGTGGAATGCTACTAACAGCTAGTAACCTTCCACCTACAATTTCTTTGGCTCTACCCGATGCCTCTCCCTTGACTTGTTTTGTACCTCTGACAATACATGCAAATTGGACTGATGAGATCACAGTCAATTGCAGTTTTTCAGAGACAACACCTTTAACAAGTTGTAGAAACGTCACCCAGTGCTATTCCTCCCCATCAAACCAGGCCTATGTTGATAGCACTTGGCTTCCAAACACTTAGGTTGGCAAAATCTGCCCTTTGTGGTGGCTAATCTCGTCTAATGCCATCCTAATTCCATTAGTGGAAACAGCCCCAAAGCTGCAAAGTTAAATAAATGAACAGCTTTAGTTAGTCCATACTGGGAGGACGTGAGGAATTATTATCTGTTTTGTCTTCACCTGTTGGGTTTAACCTACAGCAGTGTTTCTCAACCTCAACAACTTTCAGATGGGTGGGCTTCGACTCCCAGAATTCCCCAGCCAGCATGTGTGGACCAGCTCCCACAATCCCACAGCTAGCATGCTGGCTAGGGAATTCTGGGAGTTGAAGTCCACCCATCTTAAAGTTGCTGAGGTTGAAAAACACTGACCTTCAGTATAGGCTCGGTGGCTGAAATTATTATCATTATCAGCATTATTAATTAAATTGTATGCCATCTAATTTGGTGATTTACAAGAAGATAAAATAGAATAAAATGTTCACGGCAAGAAAAGGACAATTACCATAAAACATATACAGCAAGGGAAAAATTACAAATATATAAATTTAACCCACAACCCTAACAACATCCAAACCCCAAACAGCCCATAAAATCAAAACAAGGCTAAGTATAAAAGGACAAAAAATAAAAACATAATACTGATGGCAGACAATCTCATCCCCAAAGTCCTCTGCAAGTGTTCAGCTTTTCATGGCCTCCAGAAAATGATTCACCAGGAGTCCATCTAATTTACTTACTTACTCATTAAATTTTTTAAATTGCCCAAACTTGGGCAGTTTGCAATAATACATGTAAAAAATACCATTGAAGTTAGAAACAAATACAATAAAATGCAAAAGAAAGACACCATATAAACTAGGCAGCAGCATGGTGGTCATTCAAAAATTATGAATTAAAGTTAAAATACAAATAAAAGCCCATTAAAAAGCCTGGGGAATTAGAAAGGGATTCATCTGGTGGGTGAAATGATGTTAATGTCGGCGCCAGTTGGGTCTCTCTGGGGTGGGCATTCCATCCATGGGGAGCCGCCAGAGAAAAAGCTCTCCCCCTTGTGGAGGCCACCCACCCCCTTCGGTGGAGGGACTGGGGGAGGACCTCATCAGATGATCTTAAGGTTGGTGTAGGGAGAAGGGGCTCCTTCAGATAACCCAGTCCTAAGCCACTGAAGCCTTCAAAGATCAAATTGGCTGGCACTTAGAATTGGGTCCAGAAAGTGCCTGGCACTCAGCATAGAAGGTGAGGAATTGGCATAATTGTATCGGCCAGTCCCAGTGAGCAGTTTACCCGCTCTGTTTTGAACTAACTTCTAAACTGGAGAATTGTAGAGTTGGAAGGAGCCACCAGGATCATCTGCAATGTGCAAGAAAACCAGTTAATCCATCCATGACAGGTGGAGAGAGGGAGACCTTCCCGCAGCATTGGGGAGAAGAGTCTCCAGCTCTCCACCAACAGGAAAGCACCTCATTCTAGCCTCAGCCCCCTCCCTTCCTGGCAGCGGGGTGCCACAAGCAGCTTCTCCTGGGAGGACTTCCTTGGACAGGTTGTCCCGGGTTGGAAGAGGTGGTCCTGGAGGTATGCGGGAGCCAAGCCATACGGAGATTTAACCAGCACTTTAAATTGCAGGCAGAAACCTACTGGCAATCCGTACGGATCTCACAGCACGGGTATAATGTGTTTCTGGCAGCTATTGCCAGTTCATAAATAGGCCACTGTGTTTTTCCACCAACTGCAGTTTCTGAAGTAGTAGTAGAAAGTGTTAATCGCTTTCTAGAAAAAATCTGAAATTGGCACTTTTTGGAATTTATTTTGCAGGCTTCTGTAACCTAATTTATTTAATTTACATCCTGCTTCGTTTTATGATTTTTTTTTTCCTCCTGAAGCGGCATTTTAATGCGACTGATTATAAAACAGTGACAGCATATTCTCGAGGATGGTTTTGGAAGTTGCAATCTCAGTGCTGTCAAGCCAGCCGGGTTCTCTTGAAATGTGCGGGAGCTGCTCATTGGGAATTCTAGAACTGCCAACCCCAAGCCTCTGGCGTTTGCCAAGGTTGTCCTAGCCTGTGGTTTATAAGAACCCAGACGTGTGGGTGAAAGAGGAACGAATGCACACGGGAGCTGTGTTCACAAAGTGTGCTTCACCCAGTTACAGATTTGATCCATTTTTAGGGTTGCACAAAATGCTGAATCATTAACTAACGAAACATACGGAGTTTGTTCAGAAGACTGCACCACCCTAATAATAACCTAGGGTTATCACAACCCCGTTGAAGAAATGCAAGCGCTGGGTTTTCTCCAGAGCTGGTTAAGGGTGTCGGGTGAATGCATCCAGAGTGTTTGAATGTGTTTCAAGGACGTGATGATTCAAGGATCCATTTCTGTACTTGGGATCAGTGTCTGGCCAAAGAAAAGAGACATCAGCCAAGTGGAAGAGTTAAATATTCAGCCTTGGCGGAATGGAATTAGCACCCCCAACTTGGCAGTTGCTGCAGTTCAAGGCAACAGCTGCAAGAGTTTGAGAAGCAACTTCGTGCCAGGAGAAGCCTCCGTGTTATGTGGCAAAGAGGACTGACCGCTCTGGCTGGTGGCATTTGGCCATGACATCACACAGGGAGGGTCCCCCAATTCCAGCAGAAACTTGAGGCTTGCTCGGGTCAGACAGTCTTCCAGTTAAAGGAGGGATCTGATTTGCAAGCTTATGGTCCCTTGTGACTCTTGGCCATTTTTAACTAGCACAGACCTCGTCCAGTTGCCATTCATAGCTCTCGCTGAAAGATCCTGGGCCTGAGGTCCCTCGTAGCAAATTTGGGCAAACTGTTCTCTTTCGTCCTATGCAAAAAACTGAGTACATATGCTATATTTTAAGAAACCCAAGTATTTTACAGAATTATCTGCTAGCTATCATTGTAGGGCCACCAGATCTGGGCTGCCAAAACCTGGGCGGCCTTGAGCTGGCAGCAAGTTGTTCTCTGCGTTTCTTGGTCACCATCAGGGGGGCATCTGGATTAATGCAGCCCTAAAATGGGAACACAAGTGGGGGGTTGTTCAAATTAATTGCCCCAGGCTGGAGGCAGTCATCTCAAAATCTTTGGGGGAACAGTGTTCAAAGCAATAAGAGTAAAGCCACATGTTGGGTTTGCCTCCTGAGAGTAAGTGTGGGGAGCATTGGGCCTGGCCCCCCACCTCGTCCAAGATTTATGCTTCCTCAACAAACGAAGTGGGAAATTTCGCTCTGAGGCTACCCTCATTCAGGTGGCTGCCAAGGGAACATGTGAAAGCAAACTGAAGCCCTCTGCCTAGGGACATGTGTTGATGGAGTCACAGCTGGGCCAATCCATCATGCAGTATTGTTTGTTTGTTGAGTTCTGTGGGATCCTGTGTAAACCTAGGCTTGTGGTTTGTGATCCACAATGTATGACTTAGCATAAACAGGCCATCCATAGTTTGTTCCGCAAGCCATTGCTAGAACAAACAAACCCTTAGCGTGATATGAGAAGCTACCTTTACAGCCGTTGGATCAACAAGACGCCAGAGATTAGATGGCTGAATAATTTGGAAGACGGTCTTGAGGGAATATCTGCTCGAACTGATGGGACAGTCAAGCAATCTCAACCTCTCAAACGACCAATTCAAAGAAGCTGATCAGGCTTCCCAGACTGTGCAGATGCTAGGGTTTGACTTATCTGGTTAATTAGTCGTACTGGTTAGAATTCTATCTTGTTTTCTTCCAGGAGCTCAAGGAGGCAGGCACAGCCTTCCCGCCTCCAATTTTTCATGGTTACAATTAACCATTAACGGAGGCTCACAGTTTTGCTGTGAGAAAGAGAGAAGCTGTCCCCAAGGCACCCTTGGGTCCTCCTAGTTCAACCATTACCCAGCACTGGCTCTGGATGTCTTAGGTGACATGGGCTATTTAATTAAGAGAATATCTGGCTGACCTTTCTTCAGCCTTCTCTCTTGTCTTTCTTTCTTTCTTTTTGGCAGATTATGACGTTCTGTTCAGTGTACCTCTTCAGATGAGGACAAATGTCTTGGCTGAAGGAGGTGAATGAGCTGGCTGGCCACTCTTTAACAAGCAGGTGAAGGTGAACCACCAGCCAGCATCTGTGCTTCCAGAATCAGAGACTGGCACCACCTTGGGAAGCAGCCCAACATAAGACGGGACAATGTATACCTTCCTGCCAGAGAACTTCACCCCAGTGAAGCAGAAGCCAGCCAAAGAGCTGAAGCCCATGATTGCTGCTATCGTTGTGGGTCTTGTTTTGTTTATTGCTGCAGTGGTTGCGTGGTGCTACTACGTGGCTTCCCTTCGGAAGGCAGAGAGGCTCAAGACAGAAGAGATGGACTTGCGGCAGGATGGATTCACCATCAAGAACCAGAATGGCGAGCTGGTCTTCAGGGTGGCCTTCCAATCAGGGGTCCTTGATCTGGAGTCCTGCTCCAGGGAAGGGGCAAATTTAACCTGCACCCGTACAGACAAAGGGAAGGTCAATTTTTTCATAAAGATTGTTAACCCCAAAGACACGGTGATCTGCTACCGTGTGCGCTGGGAAGAGTTTGTGGCGGACACAGTGGTGGATCATAAAATGTTCTGGGGAGATGCCCTATGGTATGGGGGCTGTGAAATGAGTGTCCAGCACTGGCCAATCAAGCTGCCAGGATACCAGGAACCTATGCCTTTTGTGACTAGTGATGTGTATTCTTTTAGGAACAGCTTTGGGGGTATCCTGGAAAGATACTGGTTGTCCTCCAAAGCAGCAGCCATCAAGATCAATGACTCTGTACCCTTCCACCTTGGGTTCAATGCCACTGAACCATCTCTTGTTTTCCAAGCCAGGTATAAAGATTCTCCTTATAAGCCTCCTTTGGGTCAGCAGCCTTTCCCTGAGCTGAGTTACCGTGTCTGCATAGGTTCCGACGTCACCTCCATTCACAAATACATGGTGCGGAAATACTTCTACAAACCTTCCAAGATACCCTCAAAGAATGCATTCAGGTATCCCATCTGGTCAACCTGGGCCTTGTACAAAAATGACATTGACCAGGATAAACTGTTGCGTTTTGCAGAAAATATTAAAAAATATAAGTTCAACTGCAGCCATATTGAGATAGATGACACCTATACACAAGCGTATGGCGACTTTGATTTTGACGCAGTCAAATTCCCAAATGTGACAGAAACCTTCAAGAAACTCAAAGAAGAGGGGTTTCAGATCACCCTCTGGACACACCCGTTCATAAACTACAATTCCTCAAATTTTGGGGTGGGGATCGAGAAGCAGCTTTTCATCAAGGAACCCACAGGGAGACTCCCTGCCATGGTTGAGTGGTGGAATGGCATTGGTGCTATCTTGGATTTCACTAACCCTTCAGCCAGAGATTGGTTTCAGAGCCAGCTGAGGCAACTCCGCAATAAGTACGGCATATCGTCCTTCAAATTTGATGCTGGGGAGACGAGCTACCTTCCCAAACAGTTCAGCACCTTCCGACCTCTGTCGGACCCCAGTGTCTGGTCCAGGCGCTACACGGAAATGGCCATTCCGTTTTATGAGCTGGCTGAGGTGAGAGTGGGCTATCAGTCGCAGAATATCTCTTGCTTTTTCCGGATCATTGACAGGGACTCAGTGTGGGGCTATGAGCTTGGGCTAAAATCCTTGATCCCTACTGTGTTGACGATCAGTATGTTGGGATACCCTTTTATATCAGCTGACATGATTGGTGGAAACTTCTTTCCCAACAAAACTGATGGGGCTGTTGAAATTCCAGACCGAGAGCTCTACATCCGTTGGCTCGAGTTGTCCGCCTTCATGCCGTCTATGCAGTTCTCCATCCCCCCCTGGCTCTATGATAAGGAGGTCATAGAAATTGCCCTGAAGTTCACCAGGCTTCACGAGTCCTTGGTTGCCCCTCTCTTGCTGGAACTGGCCGGAGAAATCACGGACACGGGGGATCCCATCATACGGCCTATCTGGTGGATCTCTCCCGGGGACGAGTCTGCTCACAAAATCGATTCCCAGTTTCTCATTGGTGACACCTTGATGGTGGCTCCCGTCTTGGAGATGGGAAAACAGGAACGAGACATCTACATCCCGGCTGGCAAATGGCGCAGTTACAAAGGAGAGCTGTTTGAAAAAACTCCCACCTTGATAACGGACTATCCTGTGGACCTGGATGAAGTGGCTTACTTTGTCTGGGTGTCCTAAGCTGCTTCCACTGACGTTGATAGCTTTGAACCTTCACAAAAGTCACCTTGCCTTATTCTGATAATCCTAACACGAAATAATTCTAATCAGTGCAGAGGGTAGAAGGGGAAAATAGGACACAATTGCACATTAAATCTCCAAATCAAGACTGAACGATGTGTGTGCAATTAAAAAATGCTGCTAAAAGACGAACGTTGTCACAAGATTTGCACACTGCAGCAGAAGGCCTTTTCAGGCCCCATATGGAAGCTGAGATCAGAGAGTTGTTTCAGAAGTTTGGGTGTTCACACTCAAATGTTTTTCTTCCATTTTTTTCAAAGGTGGGGCTTGCAACGCCAAAATCCTTAGTGATTTATCAATCACTCCACCATCTAGTGCTTCTGACCTGTTTAGTGTCATGGGCTGGGAAGCACGGGAGGAGTCTTGCTACAAGCTGCGGAGAGTTTGCTCCCGATCTGGTTTCAAATAGGAGCCAAAAGAAGCTTTGCAAAAGGTGCAAGAATGTCAGCCCATCCAGGAAGAACTGTTTCGTTTTGTTTTTAAATTGGGAAGGCATCTAATATTCCTACAACCAAAGCTGTCTGCAGGAGGGGAGGTAAAGGAAAATCAGGAGGGTGGTCACGAATGCATGATCAAAACCCCACTCTTTTCAGCATGTGTCACATATGCGATACATGTCAAAAAGGGGCAGGGCTTCACATGTTCCCAGCCACCAGCTTGACTTTTCAGAGCCCCCTGCGGACTTCTTGGTATGGCACAACTAGCCTTAAGTTTTAATACACCATAAGCTATTATTTGAAATGAGCTTTGTTTTCCTAAAGAGAATAAATCCAATTAATACAGGTATATATTTATAGAGAGACAGAGATATCTCCCTGTCTGATTTTGGACAAGGCTGGTATCAGAGGAATGAACTGGCCGCACAGATTTGGTTAGTGGGCTGGGCTGGTTCCTCAGCTCTTGGCTTTGGAAAAGATGGGAAGGCTGCGTGTTAGCCTAATGTTCCCAGTCTCGCTCCTCAAATGTTTTGAGATTGCTTCCATTGGCTGCGGGATTCTGGGACTTGCAGTCCCAACACGTTTGGAAGGCTACCAGTTGGAGAAGGAGGCATTTGTTTGTCCCTCCCACTGCTAGCCACTTTCTTGCCCAGGTAGCTAACCCAGACACATCTGTCCGTCCATCCATCCATCCATCCTTCCTCAATATAGTTGTAATTTCACCCACAGCACCTGGTAAGTTCAAATTTACCTGGGTCTCCTGCTGCTGGTGCCCTTCCTGGGTAATGTTCATAGGGCCGTTGGAGTTCATTGCCTTTCCAAGGATCCTTCAACTCATCAGCAGCTCTCAAGGATTGGCCAGATAGATTGAGAGTTCTCGCCTGGGACCTCCATGGTGCTACGGGTTAGAGTGGCAGCTGAGGGTCAGGATAGGAACCCAGAAGTTGGCTTGCTAACAGCACATAGAACAAAGCAATTCTTCCTGTGCCAAAAAGGGAGGATTGTGGTTTCTTTTTCTGGAAGACAGATGTAAGTTAGTGCAGTTTGGATACTAGACTATTTTCATTAAACTTGGCAAGATTCCTCATTTGGTTATTTCTTTCTGAATTCAGGAAGGAATCTAAGTTCCCATTGACCTACCTGTAATTCTAAGGTAACCATGCCATTTTTGGAAAAACGAATGAAAGGTATTATTTCCATACCTCCTTGAGCAGTAGATGCCTTGACATCCTTCCCATCTCATTTCATACCTTTGTCAGGTAGCATATTTGGGCTGCAGAGATCCAAAGTATCGCTAGATGACAGCAAGGAGACAGAGAAAGCTAATGTCTGGCTGTCATCTTGCCCAGACCCAGGGGCCTGCACTACCTGCAACTGTGCACATTTAGGACTTACAAAGCAATGCAACAGAAAATTTGGATCACTGTCTGGGAACAGAAAAGAGATGCAAGGTGAGGAAACAGAGAAAGACAAGAGCCGAGAAGAAGGAAGAACCTGAACCAAGGGAGGGATGATGACATTTTAGTTTAAAGGTGAGGTGGGAGAGAGATGGAGGTTTGTACAGTTATGGATCATGAGGAGAAAGTGAGAGGAAGGAAATATGTTTTCCTTCTCTGTCATAAAATTAAAACCCAGCTGAGTCACCCATTGAAGTTGATGGTAAATGGTGAAGATTTGTAATCTGTCCAGAGAACGTGGGGTATCAGGTGGATCAGAATTTAATAAATAATAATGCTAATATTGTCTAGCCTGACTCATTTTGCAGCTAGGATAAAAATGAGAAAAAAGTTGAAATGCTGAGTTTGGGGAAGTAAACATCCCATCTTTAATATTAAACATCTCCAACTTCCCCATATCCTTGTTAATCCATTTGGATGGTGAAACTATCATACCTTGTCAGTTTTCTCATTTGGCCCAAAGGGGGTAAACTTGTAAGCCATGAAATACATTTTCCCCAACTTACCACTTTCCAGAAAAGTTGGACTAAACTCACACCATCAAAGCCAGCAGGGCATCATATTTCTTTTTCCAAATTTAAAACTCTGGGGAGAAGGTTAGCACATGGACAAAACTCCAGGAAAGGGTTAAATGAGCCAGTCAAATAAGCTGTGGGTTGCTGGCTCTACTCCCAGGCAAGTATTGCATAGGGTGAAACTAATTATACCCAGTCAGCTGTATGAGGGAACATCCAACCCAGTCAATCGCCTATTCTGCATACTGAATCCTTTGTATTTCCCATGCACCAATGACAGAGGCTTAGCCACGCCTACTGCTGCCTCACTAGCCAATAGGGAAGGAGCTAGTGATACAGTGGAGCTTTGCCCCTACTCTCTTGGCACAAGACTTCATGGGATTATGAGTGTTCCCTGAAGGAAGTAGATGGGGACTCTTCTCACCAAAACATGACTGTGACCCGTTAGTGACACTGTGTGTTGACCAATAAAGACTCATCACAAGATACGGCTGGGTTAAATGTGTTATAGAAATGGGGCTCAGGGTTTCTATAACTGGACTGCAAAGATCTGGATGACCACAAGATAATAACAAAGAGATATATAGGCAGTCTTTCGGTTATGGGAGCATTCCATTCCAGGAATCCTTGTAGAAGCCAATTCTTACACATGTTAGATTATGTGCTGTGTGCATGTCTCTTTGCGTCATATCAAAATTACATAAGCTGAGGCTATGTTCCCTGGGGACTGCCTGTGGAAACCCATAACTAGGCTATAGAAGTTGCATAAATAAATAACATAAAATAAATGAACTGTCTGCAGCCATCTAGTGGGCATTAGGAGATTGTGGGCATCCTGGACCTGACAGCCCTAACAAAGCTGGTGTCTTTCTCCCTGTGCATTGAAAGCTTTTGCCAAAGTCACAAATGGTGTGCATGAAATACTGTAATCCAGGAGACTCTGGTGAGTTCAACCTGCTTAGCCTCAAACCAAGGGTGGCAAAGTCATGTCCTGGAGGCTCCCAGTCCAGCCACTGCTGATTCGCAAAGCCTGAAAGCTGTTTAGGACCATGAATGGGAAATCTGTATGTGTGAAGACAAGGACAGGATTATCTCCTTCCCCATGTTGTGTTTCATAAGGGGTGCAGACAACCCTTATCAGTTACCATCCAAGGTGGTTTTCCGCTTTTGCCTCTAAAGCTATGAGTCCAGAATTTAAGCACCTCCTAAACAAAAGATATGGGAAGAACTATACCTTAGACAAAGAGAATTCTTGGCCAAGCAGTCTCCTTACATATCAATCAGTGCCTCTTACTGCCCTCACTTTCCCTCTTTGTTAATTTTTTCTCACCCACCTATATCTTCAAGGCCAGGCACATGGATCTCGTTCCCCCTTTTGTTTCCCAGAATGCCCCAGGTTAAATGTTACTCTGGGGCATTGTGGGAAATGAAGAGTTGCTAGGTCCAGCTTCTCAGAGTATTTCAGTGCAAATAGCTAAGCCTGGTTGATCCCACTGGCAGAAAGGGGTCAACTAAGAGGCCCTACCACCTTCACATTTGGATCTCTGCAAGGGCATAATGTGCTTTGGACTTGGAAGATCCAGTATTATCTTTAATGGAAAAGTTGCTGTCCACGGAGGAACCAAATCTCCGACAATAGAAAGCAGCTTGACCTCACTTGTTAAAGCACTCAGTGGTTGTATAATACAACATGCTGAACCATGTCAGCAAAAAGTCTGACAGATGAAGTCACTCGACATGCTAAGCCTGATTTGTGTTAACCTTGGTTAGATTTTTGTGGCTTATTGTGCTGAACCAATTCAGCCTATTTGGTTAGTTTATTATTCAGTGTCCTACAAACCCAGAAAATGGGTTTATTCAGTAACCAAAGTAAGCATCTTGCACTAATATAGCCACCATTAGATGCAGTGGCTTTGGAGAATTCTTAATCTCCTGGATTTATTACTTCTGGAGCCATCCTCATAACTCCTCACTTCCTCTGCCTGTGTCCTTAACCTACCAAGGTTTGATCCCTTAGTAATTAGTTGAGTCCTATCTTTTCGCTATTGTAAGATGGCTCTGGAACTCATTTTTGACCTGCCTAGAACTTTGTGCAGAAAATCCCACATTGTCAGGCTCCTCCTTCAGCTAGCTCAAACTTGGAGGAGACTGCCCAAATACTTAACACATAATGGCTACTGAAGAAAGCTGATTGCAGAGTACACTGAAGCTACTTAAAACTGTCCTCTATCAAAATTAGGGTGTGTTCTCTTCTTATACCCCCTGCAGTTTAAACCTAGGATTTCATTCTCCCCCCGTTTTCCACAACTTAACAGAGATATATTGTTTATGTTTCTCAGGCATAGTACAAAGTGAAGGTCAGTCCTGACATATCTGGTGATCTCTATCTCCCAAGGAATCAGCCACAATGTTCTTAAATAGGGTTAGGAATAGTTCTCCAGAAAATGTTCATGGATGTCCCCTTTCCACAACAGTCTTTTTATAGATATGCCTAGGATCCCTTCAAAATAATGAACCCTACCCATAAAATGCTGCATCTGGAAAGACCTTGAAACATGGATTTACAAGCTGAGATCCAAAGTCATCCCAGTATCGATCCAAATTGGATTTTGAGCCCCATCAGTCCAGCTTGCCTCATCAGATGTTGAGAGAGGAGCTGTAGGCAAAAGATCTGAAGGTGTGTTCAAGGAGGAAGAAAGAGATAGTTACGAAAGAGACTGATAGTTGCCAATAGTAAATATGGGTTATTTTGCTTGTTAAAATGAACATCTTCCTCTCCCCTTCAAAATCTGGTTAAGATTCCTTTGGAGATTATTGTTCTCTATTCTGATCCTGTCCTCTGCCATTTTCAGGGACCTCAGAAGGAGAGGACCTAGGACTCATTCAAGATAACTCCATGCTTGATGACTCCTTGCAATTTAACAATGGCCTGGAGTTTTCTGTCGTTTCTTTCATCTGCGACGTTTTACTGTGAAAGTTTAGAATAAATGCATGGTGTGTGCCATAATGCAGCTGTCCACACAAAAGCTTGCTTTCTTAGTTATTATTCCCATAGGACGTTGGTGCATACGAAGTCCTTGATGAACGTGCCTTCCTCTCAAATTATAGAAGCTCAGGGAGGGAAGAACTCATCTAAAATGCAGCACCTATCAGCACCTCCTCGTTGCAACAAGCTGTAGCATCTTCTTGGATGTGAAGGCAGGACAGGAGAGGGCAAACCGCTCAGCTGGTGTTCAGATTTCACTTTGCCATCCCTAAGCTTTTTTAATTTACAAGGCAGAAGTGGGCAGGCAGGTCATGTGCACATGCAGAAGGGGTACAGAAATGGTGAATAATACATAATGCCTGAAGAAAGGGATGTTGAACCTATAGTTTAGAGTCTGGCTCTTTCTCAAGACAGGCTATTAGGATGAAATTGTCTGGCCTCGCACGTGACTTTTTGGGTGGGAAAGGAGGGAGACCTGAGTCCCCATCTATCACTTGAACCCACTTGTAATTAAATATTAACACACTGGCAGAATTTACTGAGTTTAAGGTAAAAGTTTCCTTAAAACCACTTTCCTGAGCTATGGGCTAATTTTGTTGCTCACTATTTTCTCACCAGTTCAATCTATTAATGTTTTCTTGGAGCTGGCACTCCTTCCCTAAGCTTCAGACTTACGTATGCTCATTTATGTACATTATGTAAGTCTCATAGAATTCTGCTGGAGTACTGCCCAGTAAAAATGTGAAGGGCCAGGCTGCATATTTATAAGGTACAGCATACAGCCAAAATCGTTGGTGAATGATAGCTTCTGTTAAAATCCTTCTGTCTTCTTACCTTTTTAAAAAATTCTTTGATATCCACCTGAATATGAGTTCTGTATAATTCCAAATCTTACATGTGGCACTGTGTACTTTGGTTAATCCCAATAAAAGTACTGATTTCTTTGATCTTGAGTATGCCATTTCAATAGAACCCCATGGCAATCTTGACTTTGATATAAAATTACTATAATTTTTATAGATTGAATAAAGTCTTGGACAAATAAAATATACTTGTTCTGTCTTCTCCTCTTAATGCAATAATGCACCCAAGGGCAGGCAAGAAGCTGATCATGTCATGACTTAAGAGGAGATCTGAAGTTGGATCAGATCAAAGATATATTGAATTCAGCATCTTGTTTGGAGAAACAGCGGCCAACCAGGTGGCTTTGGAAAGCAGGACACATGGACAACAGAAGCAACCTCTCTTAACTATTTGAAGATCTTGAATTTAAGAAATCAAACCCCACCATGAAATCTATTGACAAAGAAAAGAAAGGTTTAGCTTGGAAATGTAGAAGGAAGCAGAGAAAGATGAACAAAGAAGCTGGATAGATACTCAGTCTGAGCCCTTCTTCAAGCTGGGCTGCAGACCCACAGCTCCATCATTCAGAAGCCAACCTGTAACTATTCTATTTGTCCATCTTATTCTTCCTGTCCTTTCACTGGTCAAGCCTCTACGGTGCATGTTGAAACCACTGTGGGTTATGTCCAAGGTGTTTTAACTTTCTTTAGATCAATTCAGAGTGCTATCTACATTTTTGCCAATTGAATATCTACATTTTTGCAAGCCTCCAAACTGGCCACCAATGAATATCCTGCCTTTGGATGCCCATGGAAGTGAATTAACAAAAATGTCTTAATTCCACCCTCCTTGCAGAAAATAAAGAACTAGTAGCTAACAGAGGTGGCAGTGAAGGAACAGCATGTCCTTACAAAATGTAAACACATCATCTAAAACTCTCAAAATGTCTGGGCTCCTATATGGTTGCCATGGCACCAAGCCTGCTTTTAGGAGTCTTCTCTCTCTGAATAGCTGTAGTGTGGGGGGATGTTATTAAACTAGTGGGACATGGAGGAGGGGAGAAAGTTCAGTTCTAAAGGAGACCCAAATGCAAGAACGTTGGGTTCTTCATGGAGAAGATGGGAAACTTCTCTTGGAGGGGAGATTCTATATCTGTCCTAGCTTCTGCATTGTGAAGATTCCAGTAGGTGAGAAATTTTGCTGATGGATTACAAGAAGGGACTGAAAACTTCAAATATCAAAGATGAAGTTCTCCAACTTTTCTTCAGCTAGTGCCCTTCAGGTGGCTACATTCACACAGGATACACAATAATGAGGATAACAAAACCCCAATGGCAGTGTTCACACCATTTGTTGTGACGAACAAATAAATAACGTCTTCACATGATAGGCTGCTTTAGACAACATGCTGACCCTCAAATAAGCAAACCCATTTTAGTGTAGCCTTGAATGTTGTGTGAACCCAGGCCAAGCATTCGATTCCATTCTCCCCAAAAATTCTATGGCCGGTTGAATATCCAACACACACATTTCAGTAGGGGCTGTGAGGGCATGTGACCTGGTTGATGGTTCCCATGAGAATAGGCCCTCAGTTAAAATATTAGTCAATATTTTTAATACAGCTTACAGTTGGAAACTGAACAACCAAATTTCCAGATGGGAAAACATGATTGCTGGCTCTCTTCAAATTCTTGTTTTGTGTTCAATCTGTTCTTTGAACCACACATGTAATTCCACATTCTCTTTCACCTACTCAAATATGGAAAATAAAAAATTCAGAAGTCTGGAACAAAGAACACTCTGTCTCTAGAAATATAAATATGTCTTAAAACACTTCTTTGTGTTATTTCATATATATTATTTTCAGATTTCATATCTGGCTTACATTCAGATGGATTCAATGATGGTGCACACATAAAGATGAAAATTCCAATAAAACAATAACAATAATACAAACAATAAAAACTAACAGTGCAATAATTATCCATTAAAGTGATACAAATGGTTTGACCAGGTGCCCGAAATATTGCAAGATAGCCATTCCAACTTTGGGCATCCCCACCACCAAGAAGTCTTCTTTCTCATCTATATGATGCCACCTTCAGTTGATGTTATGTGAAGAAGGATCTTCTCTTTGTCATGGTAAGCTGATATGGGCTGGAGGTGTTTCTTTCTTTAAGCTTCTGAGTCTTAGTGCTTAGAATGTGAATCAACAGAACCAAGAAAGGGAGCCCAAACTGGGTGGCCAACGAAGTCACAGAATTCTGGATGTGTTGGGGCTACAGCTCCCCAAAAGCACAGCCATCTTGAGACAGGCATCCTGCCAAGGAAGGGTAACTTTGCTTATTTCATTAGTCAAACAAGTTACACATGGCCTTCTTATCCTGGTTTATGCTAAGGTTGGCTTGTCCTGGTGATCATGGACATATCCAAGGCATTCTCTTGTCATCAAGACAGAAATGGCTTACTTCCTAGGATGTGTTTTTCAACTTCCCAATCTAGTGTCCAGCTCTGGAATTTCCTGACAGCCATGGTGGCTGCAAGGAGGTGGGAGCTAACGAAAGTAAGCAATGAGAGCCAGATCTAGTTAGCTTTTGGATGGGGCCACCACAGGATTCCAGGGCTGCAGGCTAGATTGGGAAATTGAAAGACGATCCCAGGAAAAGTCACTGTCAAAACACTTTGGTTTTGTTGCCAGGAAAAGTGCATTGTGACAGTGTGGCATTTGCTTATCTGGTTCTCATGCTTCCTAGGATCACTTGCTCAATCAATTATACTTTGGGTAAAGTTTTCAGCAACAGAACAAACCTTGAATTCAGATGCAGAGCAGAAGTTGTTACTGATTTGGATGCTATACTAAACCCCAGGTAGGACTTCAAATTCGGTTTCATGAGCTGTACACAATGGGATGGGGGAGGGGTGAAAGTGGCACTCTCAGTAATCCTCTCCTGTGGGTTGGCATGCTGGGTGATCCAAGCTAGCAAGCTAGTATCTCCCTTAGCATCTGGCTTATAGATGTTTCCTGCAACATCGATAGCCATTTTCTATCATGAAGCCCATGCATGAATGACTCCCTGGAAAAAAAATCCAAAATATTCCTGGAGAAGGAGTTGAGCTTAAACTCCCATGTCATTCGTCTTTCTCTCCATCTCTGTATTCATTGATTAGTCACCCTGGTCTTGATTTCCCCATCTGCTGTGCTAAGATAACAGTTCTTCCCCATCATGGACAGCTGAGATGAACAGGTTTTAAGCAATGAAAGTTCAGCAGAATGGGAAGGCACATAATAAGAACCTTTGCCATTTGTTAAGAAGAATTACTCTGAGCAAAAATAATTGTTCTTCTAAAAATAAACAGTTTGAGTTAAGTCAATGTCATCTCGAGATTGAACTATATGGGCCCCTTCCAATTCCATGATTCTAAGAGAATTTCAGGGGGGCAGGATTCTTCGTCTGTGCCTGAGGCTATTTAAGGAACCAAAAAGAAATAAGCAATTTCATCCAGATCCACAGGATAGTCCGTTATCAAGGTGGGAGTTTTTTCAAACAGCTCTCCTTTGTAACTGC